ATACTATTAGAAGGAGAGGCTTGTAATGCGACGCTGTGGCAACGAATGAAAGTCTCTGAATCTATGAATCAATCAGTTGTAGTTGTATAGGGTGTGACAAATTTTGTTTCTTTTTTAATTAATTAGTTTGAAAAAATATTTTTTTAGTTATGGATTTTTTAACGTTAATATTTTTTATGATTATTGGCAAGTAGCGTTAGAAGTATGTTCATTTATTGTCGCGATGGTAACGACACGCTGTATAATGAGACTTTAATATTTGAGAGACGATTCTTTTTTATTTTTAGTGGTAATCTGCTCTCAATATGAAACATCAATGCGATTCTTCAATAGATTACTGAATATTGAAAGTAAACTAAGCTTTTTCTTGTTCTTCTTTTTTTATTAAGTCTCATACTTCCGTCAAAAATAACAATAATATTTAATGTTTTATTTAATTTCCGACAAAACCCCAATTGAATACACCGCAGAAGTGCGGATTGAGAAAATTAATTTTATATCTTTAAATTGCATTCCACTTGCTACATTCGTTGCATTTTTTCGTCGTTGCACGAATGGGCAGGCCCGTCTGGGGAAGTACCACGACCCCACAGAAGACCGACGTGAAATGGAGGTGTTATACTTCTGCCTTTCATCTGATGAGTGAGGTAACCGAAACCCTCGAAATTAAAAGGTGTCGCATGTATAACCCTACGGGTGTTCGAAATATCTAAAGGCGGTAGTTATCACTTAACATCAGTCGAACCGCCATCTCTCTTGCCACCTTCTCACATAAAAAAATGTGAGAGTGTAAAGAAAATTCTTTGCATATATTTTTTTGTGTTTGTAGTATCCCTTTAAAAATTTACAACGAAAAATATAAGTTGTTCACCTCTTTCTTATACACGCTGGATCTATTTTACCAAGACGTTCAAATATTCAGAAATAAAGTGAAGCTATGATGCTATGCTGTAGAGCATATTTTCAAAAAAATTATAGTCAATACAAAACAAAGCAAGAATTTAGTATGGCAAAGCCCTAATTCAATAAAAAGCTGTACTGACATATCAATTATAGAAAAAGCGATGAACTAAGGAAAATGGTAAAACCACCATCACCGCACCAGAAATCAGTTCGAATGCAATGAAAGCGATTTGAAGATTATCCAAAAGAAAAGACGGGTTGCCATTACTCGTAAATAAGTATTGCATCAATACTCTCAGAGTGAATCGTTGCCAGCATATCCGTGAATTAAGCTTGAATGTAGAATTGAATTCTTGGTACCTAGACCAAAGCATTTAAAAAAAATGCGATAAACCTACAAACTTTTATTCATATCAATTGCATAATATCTGTGTGCTTTTCTAGCATTATAGATACAAGTGCTAGAGATGGACGGCAAACAGTGCGTAATTCGCCAATATGGCGACAAAAAGCTTACATATCATGTAGAATGAGCAAATGTATTCAAGGGTCCCATTTCGGATTCCGTCCCAAGCATATGTCACAGAAAGTGGCCCTCCAGGGACTACAAAGACAAGCAAAAAGTGAATATTACAGATATATTCACATTATTGCAGCTAGTTCACATTGTAGAGTCCGTCACCTATACGTAATATTAATGTGTTATATAAATTAAATAATAATGTGTGCATTTTTGCTCCCAAAGTAATTAAAACATTAGACAATGATTTTAAGTTATTATTTACGCGGACGCCACTAATTCTTTGGATAAAATCTTACCTACCTTACACGATTGATAGGGCAGTGATTAATTTCGTAGTTAATATTTTAATTAAAACTGTTGTTTTTCCTACTCTTCCTTTGGTTTTAACGTCTTTATGCAGCACTATTTTATTAAGAACTCCCTAAATAAGCAGATAGGATTATAATGTACAGTCAAAATATATGGTCTTTAGAAGATGGTTGATTTCTCTTTATAAAACCGATTGGGGTATGTACAACATACGCTTTTAGTAAACTTGTGATCAAAGTTCATAAACACTCCTTTATTGTAACACCTATTTAGGTAATATTCATTTAGAAGACATTTGTGTGTCTATTCAAATGATTGAAATTAGTTTTGTGGCAGAGGGCTGATTCCCATTGCTCGAAAAATATGATGAACAAGCAAAGCTTGTACTATGCATACTAGAAAACTGATAAACATACTTAAACATACTTTTCTTTTGTAAATAAATACATATTATAGATATATAAACACCCAGACACTAGAAAAACACTATGTTCATCACACAATATTTTTCCAGTAGTGGGGATCGAACCCACACCCTCTGGCGCAGGACGCAGGTACACTAACCACTACGCCATTCAGGTCGTCACGTCAAATAAAAGTACTATCATGAAACTTTAATAGTCCACTGCCGGATGTAGGGCCTCTCCTAGTGACTTGAACTTACGAATTTATAATCCAGTTGATGCCAGCAATATTACGCAAGCCAACCCCACGTGATCATACATTTTCCAACGCAACGTTAATCAAAAATTTTATGTTTAAAAGTAACATAGTACCCACACGTTTTCATTTACATCATTTACATTCACGTACACGCTTTCATTACTATAAGATTCTTTTCAAACGATACCTAGTTGGATTTGTACAAAAACGTCTACTCGGTATAAAATGGATACGTTCCTCGTAGAAGGGATTCATGCATAAGTTATGTCAGTCGAAAAAAATGATTTCACGTGCCTCTTGCAAATTTTGGATATCCCAACAATGTTTTTGTTTCAAATAAACCTACCATTCTCAACCTTATTTAATAGATCTCACAGTAAAGTAATGAGGGAGATCTCTTCTTGGAAAAAATACATTACTTAAACGTAATAGAGGAACAAAACAACTGCCTGTTGATGGAAAATATTAATTCCCTTCATCTAAGATTTTATTCAAACTCATTAATTCAAAAAGTTGTTAAACATTAGATCAAGACAATACACAAATTCTAGCCATAAAACTTAAATAGGCCGGTATAGTCCGTCATCCGTACTTGTAGACCAAAGCTATATTGGTAAAGCTTACTTATTAACTTGCCAAGATTTTCTTTTCTAGTCTGATATAATTCCGATAAAGCAAATACGAGATCGTCAACGCTTGTCTATCTATCTATCCATGTTTATGTAGATTGAACCGGTTGTTGTGAAGCCAAACATGAGTCAGCAGATTATTCAATAATTTGCGTTAGAACTGATAACATGACATCTGCAAGTCAAAATACCATGACCCTCTAAACTATTAATGTACTTAGATACATACGAGTACGTTACTACGGCGTCATTCGAAATTTGTAACCATTCAATGAACGTTCAATTTGATTACAATAATTTAATTTTTCGGCCTTACTCTTGTGGTTCATGATAGCCTAATATTTATGAACTATAACGCAAAACAAGCGATCGGCTATTGTTACAATAGATTTTTTTTATTTTTAAATATATTTTTTTAGGACATATTTGTACACAACATTGTCTAGTCCCAAACTAAGCAAAGCTTGTACTATGGGTACTATAAAACTGATAAACATACTTAAACATACTTTTCTTTTGTAAATAAATACATACGATACATATAGAAACACCCAGACTCTAGAAAAACACCATGTCGATCACACAATATTTTTCCAGTCGCTGCATTGGTATACCAAAAGCAAAAATTTTAAGTAAAATAAGAAAGACATGTATTAAAGTTACAGAATTCACTTTTTTTACCCATGCCCTTATAACTGTAAGATCAATTGGTCATACTGATATATTGAAATTACTGTGACAAATGCCTTTATTTTATGTAAAGTACTTTATTTTATATACAAATTATAAAGGATGTTTTAAAATATTAGTAGCAATCACGTTATACAATGGAGGTTTAAAATTTTTGTCCTGGCAAACCAATAGTAAATGAGTGAATGTCAAAGTGAATAACTTGGATCATTTCTTGTTCCATATTCTTTTCATGTTAGCATGGTACATGTTACATATGTAACATTTTAAAAATATTCTTTTCTGGACTGCCAATTGTTCTAAAGTATTTGTACATTATTGATATAAACAAAAACATCCAGAAGTGCTGAAAGCTTTTTAAAACTAAATGGATTTTTCAACCAATTAGCTCATAACACAGTCTAGATCAAACCTTATATTGGTTTATACAGGGAGATTTTTCGAGAAGTGCCCTTTACACAGGAGGTTTAGACTCGGTAGTATAATCATTTATTGAAATAAAAAACAATTTTTTTTCCAAAAAAATGCCATTCTATTGCCTAAAAACATAACGTGTTGACAATGCGGTAGTCATTCATAAATACCTAAATTTTACTGTGCACGAACTTGTGTGTGTGCGTGTAGTTATGAATGATCGCGCGTAAAATAAATGAGTTGCGTATAAATCACGCACTTTTTATGATAAGTTCAAATGAATGTAATTAATTACTTACTAGTGATTTAAAATATTTATCATTTTTATATAACATTACTTATGTCTACAATTTAATTAAAAAATGGATACACTTAGAAAAGCCTGCTTATACTTCTCCGAAACAGCTTGCAGAAGAGGGATTTCATATCCTTTTTTTCCGAAGTTTCAACAAAAACGAAAAAAAGGGCATGAAAAGAAGCGTTGTCGGGTTCAACTAATATATCTAGCACACCTATCCTTTTAATTAAGCTAGTTACATTATATATTTTTGTCAGTGAATTTCTATGTTTCGTGCAGTGGTATGAGTATAATGTAAAGTTGATAAGTCTGTGTGGTGGGTAAAGAAAACAATTTACAAGACGCACAGACTTTTTTTATACCTTATATATTTAGAAACAAAATTCGTCTCAAATTTAACGCAAATAATACGATACTGATATGCCGGCCGAGACTAAATTTGAATTGGAACCAAATTAACTCGTTGGTGAATGTGCAACACTGCGAGACCAATTACTTATGGGAACAGCACTGTTGATTTCATATTCCACGTCATTGTACGCAATCTCCGCAAGAACAAACAACAAAAGCCATGAAATTTCTCAATATTCTATTATTAGTAAGTACCTACAGTATTTAAAATCAAACCTTATATTCTCAAAAATGATAATGTCAAAAGATATCAAAGCCATGACCATCTCTGCGGTATACTAACTTAGAATAACATTATTATCATTACCATTATCATAACGAATGAATATGATTGGTGATCGAGATGATGATCTTTATTTATATTTTAATTCTCGCTATGTTTTAAAAACAGGACATAAATCACAATCAACATAAAAAGCCTACACCACCCTCCTACATTACACTTGGTATTCTTTACGTACGTAATATTAAAAAAAATACTGAATATTAACATAAACAACCTTAAAGTTAAGCAATTCAGTGATGGTCACACTATCATTTCAGACATTCCTTTGCGTACAAATTACTTTGGCGCAAGACGATGGTGATGACGACGATGGAGGTGACGATAGAAACGCTCAATCATCGACCGATACGTCATCATCTTCAAATGAAGTTGACTTTGATGAAAATAATGATAATCTGTCGAGTTCTGAAACAGGAACTTCTGAATCTGATGACGACCTCAATGAAGGACCCTCAGGCAAGTGGATGAAGGACTTCCTGTCAGCTTTAATGTTTATGCCTAATAAAAACAGATTATGATGAAAAGTTACTTGTGAACCTTTAAAAAATTGGGCCCCGGTTACCCCACTCACCAAACGAAACCCACGAGTATAATAATTCCACTTCACGTCGGTCTTCTGTGAGGTCGTGGTACTTCCTCGGAGGGACGGTACTTCCTGCGTGCATCAGCGAGGACTGCTACGTGGCCCTACCAAAGTTAATATAATTTTCTCTATTCTATAATATTCTATGCCACTTTTTATAAGGTTGGAAATGGAACCCCCGCGGGTGTTATAACTGCGTGGTGGTAATCACTTAACATCAGATAAGTCTCTTTGCCACCATCTACATTAATAAAATAAATCAAATTTTCGCTAAATTTATAATTATAATATACATTTACAACAAAGATCTTAAACAGTTATCTTTGAACTTTATCGATTATTGTTTCATTCGTGTACCTTACTATTCATAACTTTATTGATACCTTTTATTTCCAGAAAGTTACAGTGTATTTGAAAAAGTAATAAGCCACGGAACTGATAGAATCAAAACTGCTGTTAAAGACTTTCGAAACATTAAACGGGGTATACGTGACTTTTTTCACGATTTTTAAAATGATGTAACTATACCATGTGAATCAATAGCAATATCTTACAATTTTATTTAACACAGATAGCAAATAAACAGTATATATTTCGAAACATTTTTTATTAGCATTACTATATTTAATTTCCTTCCTTATCCCTTTAAAAACAAGTCTTCGTACCCGGCCGGTCACCGTGGAAGAATACAACCAAAACCCTCCAAAGACAAAAACCACAGTAACAGTAATTTTCGGAGAAATTTTTCGCTGACGTTCCAGTTTCTACAACCAAAATATTTCTCTCTTCACCGACTGTTGCCTAATCGTTACTAAAGAAAAATATTATGTAAACTTTAAATTTAGTACTGTTAACAAAAAGGACGTTGTTAAAACGTTCAAATCTCTAGATATTAAAAGAACTGCTGATCTACGAGGGATCTCTATCAGGATGATCAGTTCTATTATTGATGTAATCTCATGTACAACTATTTTAATATTTGTATTCAAAGTAGCGAATGTCCTGACCTTAATATGAAACATAGTAAGATCATTCCGGTGTTTAAATCTAGTAGTACTTCTGACCCCAATAATTTTTGACCTTTTTTTTTTTTGTTGACGTGGGGGAAATGCCTACGCATACCCGCCTTCACGGGGGCAAGAGCGGGTTATGTCGGACTCGCACCGACTAAAACCCCCACGATGTTACACCTAGGCGCATATCAGCAGGGTCACGGGAACGCTTTCGCACACTTCCGCGACCCTGCCAACGCTGGCCGCCTTAGTAGCCCTCTCGCGGGGAGCAACTCCCCTCTCCTCGCTGAATGTTCCAGCGCGCCTTCCTACTCGGCCCCATTTTCACGGCCAACGAACTCCCCGAGTTCGCTGACCGGGGCCATGGGAGCCAGGAGAGCCAGTGCTAATAAGCAGCAAGCCTCCCAGCCCCCAGCGGCGGACCTGGTCTGTGGCTCCGCCGCTCACCACGTTTCGGCCCCACCACCACTGCATCAGCGGTGCAGCCCCGCCGAGTCACGGAGGATAGGGTGCACGGCCAACGCAATACCGACACTCCTCTTCCCCTGCGACTCCTCCTCGGTAGCCGAAGACAGGGAGAGTGGCTCCACCTCTACCACCCTCGACCTGTGTCCTCTGCACCCTCCAGCACGCATTCGGAGTGGGCTCAATGAGCCTACTCGTGCAAGGCCGGCCCAGTGTGGGTTCCTCTTAGCTTCGCCGTGGGGGACCAAGCCACGGCTACTAAGCCCCTCCGCCACGCCAAGGCGGGAACCCAGTCGGAGGGGAATAATTTTTGACCTATCTCAACACTGCCAACGCTTACCAAATTTAAAAAATAAATTGTAATGAATCAAATGTTACTGCATTTTATTTCACATAATTTGTTGCATAACAAGCAATATGGATTTACTAGGAGTCGCTCAACAACAAATGCAGGTATACAGCTTGTTAAGAATATTTTTGAAGCCTAGGAGGAGTCACACAATGCCTTAGGCATATTCTGTGACTTAACCAAAGCTTTTGATTGTGTACAGTATGAGATTCTGGTCAGGAAGCTACACGACTATGGTATTAGATATAAGAGATGCCGCACTCAATCTTCTGACATCGTACTTGAGCTATCGTGTTCACGTCAAATCTGAGTTGACGTGAATGGCAAGAGGTCTCCCGGGGCCCTGGTAAGAACGGGGGTCCACAGGAATCTCCTCTTGGGCCTTTTCTCTTGCTCATCTTCATAGTTGATCTGCAATATCTTGTTAATAACGATCATGAGATAGTATTGTTTGCGATGATACTTCTTTAATTTTTAAATTAAAGCGACATTTTTTAAATTATGACAATTTTAACAATACTCTCTCCACTGTAGTGCATTGGTGTGTTGCTAACAACTTAACATTAAATAGTAAAATAACTAAATATATTATTATATTATTATTAAATTTATATATTTATTATATATTCCTTGGCATAACTATTGATGCCAAACTACAATGGGATCCCCATATTAATAAGCTAGCGAGTAGACTTAGCTCAGCAGCGTTCACGGTTAAGAAAATAAGACAGTTGACTTATGTGTATAAGGCTCGTTTGGTGTATTTTAGTTATTTTCATAGTATAATATCTTATGGCATTCTACTTTGGGGAAACACGGCCGACGTAAACACTACATTCATCCTGCAAAAGAGAGCTAATAGAGCAGTTTATAACCCGGGCCCCAAAGAGTCGCTAAGAAGTTTCTTTTAAAGAAATAAAAATATTGACTGTTACTTCTTAAAACATACTTGCAAATGTTATGCATGTCCATTAAAAATAAAATCTTAATAATTTTTTAAGATTACATTAGATTAGATACATGAAATAAAAACTAGGAACAAATATAAATTCGATGGGTCCGTGGCGCAGTTGCCTAGGTATTGGCTTCGGTAATTGTTTCGCATCTGGGTGTTTGTCCACGTGAAATTTATGTTTGTAAAAATGTCCTTAAGCACAGAATAATGTAATCCTACAGTAAGAACAATGTTAAAATAAAATATTGTAACCTCAACTAGATTGCGTTGACTAAGCAAATCATTTATGGGAAAATGTTTACGGTTGTACAACAAAATCCCAGAAAACGTTCAAAATGAATCGGTTACTAAATTCAAAAACTTGTAAAGGAACGTTTGTGTGACTAGAGTCTATTAAAGCATTAGTGATTATTTCAATGAAATTAGAGTGTGTTATACTCTGGAAATGAATTGATCACTCCAAGCTGAATCAAGTGGAATTGAATATAATGTATACATGTTTTTTATTTATTTGTCAAATTACGTTTATAAAAAAATAGTCCCGCTGCGCTTCTTTCACCGGTTCTTTTCTGGTCAGTGGCTTTTTTTCGAACCAGTAGCAGTGTTTTCTGACAATCAATAAGAAGTGTAATACTTCTATATTGAATAAAGATATTTGAGTTGAATTTGACAGATTGAGAACTTATAATGTCAGATCTTTATCATCATACGATCGATTACTAGAATTAGAAGAATCAATAAAAAAATGAAATACGACGTATTAGGAATCTCTGAAATGAGACGACTAGACACCAAAATAGAAGATACTTTATTTACGAACACTAGATACTTTATTTTTTATTCCACGTAGGCTACCCCACCAGGCAAATACGCAGTTGGCTTTATCATAAACAAATTACATAAAAACAGTATAGCAAGTTTCACTGGTATAACAGAGCGAGTCGCTACACTAAACATGAATATTCAAGACTTTATGATCACCATCATACAAGTATACGCACCAACCGAAGCGGCAAATGAGCATGAAATAGAAGATATCTACAATGTAAGAGAAAGAGTTATAAAAAACATATGGAGTCGATCACACAATTATTCATATCGAAAATGTCGCTTCCCGGAACCGAAACGAAAAGGATTTTGGTTTCACTGAAGCCTTTCACCTTTATAGGTACATTAACAAGTTTGGGTTGGGACGTTGAATCAAGTTGAAATGGATTTCGTAGGGGAACTTAACGTATTTTTTACAATATGACAATCAAAGTTATATATTTACAATATTTTTTAATCGAAACGTAGCCGAAATAATATTATATCTAAACGTTTATAAAAAAAGTTAAATCGTGTAATTAGTGAGCACGCCCCACTTCGCAGGGTTCTCTACTATAGAAATATTTACATCTAATGAACCTAACTTATCAGTTTGTAATTAATAAATATTGAACCTAATTTTACTTAATTTATAAATAATAATTTATCCTGTAACAGTGACGTCGCCCTTTATATACAATAAATGTAAACATAAATTCTAACTATAAATAATATAACCTAAAAAAATAAAAAGTTCAAAAATTTCAATATTGATTTACTCAACAAATTTTTCTGTGCTTCGGCCAGTTTTAATGGTACTATGAAAAATAACATATTAAATGCCCTTCCATCAATTCCTTCCCCCGATCATCCGCCTTTCTTTCTGATGTCATATTTTAAATTCATCTATCACCATAGGCAAAGATGCAAAAATAATTCCTTTACCAAAAAAACTCAACCCTTCGTCCTTTTCCGACTTTCATCCAATATCCTATTATCATTCCTATCCAAGTCCTCGAACGCCTCGTTCATAGTCAGCTCAGCACCTTCCTTAACAGTAACTCCATTTGAACCCTTTACAATCTGGGTTTCAACCTGGCCACAGTACGGTAACAGCCTTGGTTAACATCGCGGAGGATATAAGAACAGGAATGGATAACGGCAAGTTAACTGTCCTTGCCTTGCACGATTTCAGTAACGCTTTTAATACGGTTGATTTTGAGGTTTTGGATGGAATACTCAGGTGTCTTAACATATCTCCAACAGCAATTGATTGGTTTCGTAGTTACCTGTATGGGCGTCGGCAGCGTATACGTATTGAAGATACCTCTTCTTCAAGGTGCAATACGACTTGTGGTGTCATTTACTTTTCTCAGTTTTTATAAACTCGATATCTACTAATTTTACTTCATCCTACCACCTATACGCAGATGACCTACAAATTTACACTCAAGCTTGCAATGAAACATTACATGTGGCTATGAAATCTATAAACGACGACCTGTTAAACATGGAGCCACGCACATGGTCTTAAGTTGAATCCTCTGTAGACACAACTCACAGTCATCGGTTCGTCTAGAACGTTAAGTAAGACGAATTTGCAGCGATTCCAAAAGTTAACTTTGACGAAAATTTTATCCCTATTAGTCAAACTGTTAAGAACCTAGGAATCCAGTTTGATAAAAACTTATCCTGGGGACCACAGCTGCAAGAGGTTAGCCGCAAAGTATTTGCCTCTGCGGTATCCTTAAGGAGATTACGTAATTTCTTACCAACAGCCACCAAAATTGCTCTTGCTCAAAGTCTACTTCTCCCCATTCTCGACTATGCTGACGTCAGTTATCTGGATTTAACCGAGGAATTTCCGCTTTTAAAAAGTCTGTCAAGAGTCACTATTTGTTACTTTAAATCTTTTTGTCTACAATGCATGCTTAGCTATATGACATTCCAATTCTAATATGGCGGATCATCCAACACGGCGGAATTGTTATTTTTTCTGCAATACCACAGTACGGGTATCAATCCCGTTAAATTCAATAACTAAAAAATAAAAAATTAATTAATGGTAAAAAAACTGTTAAAATAAGCTTTTATATAATTGCCATTAAAAGAAAGAAAAATAACTTTAAATAAAATCAAACCAATCAATAGTTCACGTATCACACAATTTATTAAATGATATTAAAGGTTGTCGCGAGATTTGTTTATTTTATAGTAATCATTTTCTTTCATAGAATTACTTATAATAAGTATGTCAAGCAAGACTATTAAGTTCACAGGTAAATCTCGCGAAACAACAATTAATAAAATTAAATGTGTACTTTTCCTTTATAACACCCTCCATAAATTAATATTTTTTTATTATGTAAATATTATTTATAGGTATATCTATATATATATATCTATAACAGATATCGGATAATCGCGAACTATATCATAACGGCATAAATTTCATAAATCATCGAACGTAACGTACTCTGATGATCATTGTACATATATTATTTTAGAAGCCGTTAGCATTCAATTTAACACAATATTAATTTAAAAATTACGTTATTCATAGGAAATAATTATTAAAATCTTTCAATCGCGCCATTTACATAAAGCTCTATCACTTAAATATTTTATGTATTTAAAAGTACAATAATTTTATTGAACTAGTTATTAGAGCAAGGTCTACATAACCTGCCTCAACATCGACATCGACATCTGCGATTGGCGTAAAGGATATTGTTGGCATAGTGGACCTGTCTCTTGCGTTAGAGCGTTCTCTAGGTTCGATCAGCAAGACTGGAAAAATATTGTGTAGTGTAAATTTTGTTTTTCTAGTGTCTGAGCATGTATTTATCTATAATATGTGTTTGTTACAATGAATTGATTTATATAAATAAAAATGGTTAAGTATTTTTATCAGTTTGTTGTGTGTTTTTAGTATTTGGGGATTAGATAAACTTGTGTAAATATGTCCTGAATATTTCAGGATATATTTATGTGTTTTTTATTTAATTGTTATTAAACGACCCATTCCCATGTTTCATTCGTGTGAATACTTTATATTGATAGAAAAGATATTTTTTTTTTTCAAATTAACCGTAACTAATACTAAGTATAGTGATATTTCGGCCGAGACTAAATATGAATTGGAACCAAGTTAACTCATTAGTGAATTTTCAGCTTTGCGAGACTAATTACTTATGGGGACTGCAGTTACTAATATAGCATTGCTGGGGTCATATTACGCGTTATTGTTCGAAATCTCAGCAAGTACAACAGTCACCATGAAGCTCTTCAATATTCTCTTATTAGTAAGTACCTATTGATTTTGACCCGAATGGTGCAGTCGGTAGTGTAACTACCTTCTGCGCCAGAGGGAGTGGGTTCGATCCCCACTACTGGAAAAATATTGTGTGATGAACATAGTGTTTTTATAGTGTCTGGGTGTTTATATATCTATAATATGTATTTATTTAATATAAAAGAAAAGTATGTTTAAGTATGTTTATCAGTTATCTAGTACCCATAGTACAAGCTTTGCTTAGTTTGGGACTAGAGAACGTTGTGTAAATGTGTCCTAAAAATATTTATTTATTTATTTAACTACATAAATATCTTATCCTTTAAACGAGCAATTCTCGTATATATATATATAATCGAAATCTCGGAAACGGCTCCAGCGATTTTCATGAAATTTAGTATGTACGTAGATTCGGGGGCGAAAAATCGATCTAGCTAAGTTTCATTTTTAGAAAATGTCCTTTTATCCCTGTTTTCACGAAATGAAAAAAAATATTCGAATATGTCGGTAAATTTCGCCTCAAGAGAAAATGTCATAATAGCTCGGTCGGTAATCGGGCGGCCCCAAAACAGACGACCGTGGTTCGTGTCACGATCATTATTTACACACTCTTTTTTTTTTCATTTTTTTATTGATTCCAGACCATTGCTTTCTTTATTTTTTATTTTTTGTTGAATCAGAGAATTTTGTTATTCTTTCCCTTTTTCTTGTTCTTTCTTTTGTGAAAAACACCACTTCATATTTTCTTATTATTAGGTCGGTAAGATCGAAAAATATTATGCATATTTCATTACTCAGTAATTTGTATCTAAATGTAATTTCCAAATTACACGATTTACAAAAAAAAAACAAACCGAGCAAAGATCGGTACTCCATGTACTCACAATTACATAAGAACAGTACCGTTTTAGAATGTAGTTAAAATCAAAAATACAACTTTTTATTTTGCGGTTTATTTAGTCTAATCCACAATTCTCAAATATCAGTGCTGCAATCAAAACTTTACTTTTACTATGCCGTCAATTATTGTATTCCAAGAAAAAAAGCTTCCATCCACCAAAATTATAGAATAAATTTCACAGCCCTCACTGCGCTATACCAACTTAAATGAGCATTACCATTAACCTTATTTAATCCCTTCGCTATTTTTGAGATGTTTTGTAATCTATTTTTATTTCACTAAACAAAACTTATAGCTATAACTTGTTAAGCTAAGTTATATTAGGATTGTTAAAATTAAGGTATTTGAAGGATCGGTGAAGGATTTTCTCTACATGTAATAACACGACATAAAATTCCAAAAGCCGACGACATCCTCCTTCACACTTTTTTTTTTAAAAAGAATTCGTGTAAACCAAAAAAAAACTGTAGAGAAGTTGTTAGAAGACAATAATAAATTAAATCATGCTCTTTGTTTTTTTTTGCTTTCACCACGCACTGCCGTAAACCGAATATGTAAACATTCTAGAGTGGGTTCTCACGATACAGGCCAGGCCTAGTGTGAGGACCACAAGTTACATCTTGCTTTGTCTAGTGCTGCAGTCCAAATGTTTCTCTTAATTTGATAACTGTAAATCTTATATTCAAAGGTATATTGTTACTTTGGACTTAAATAAACTTATTATTATTATTATTAAATAACTTTGCCGGTGCTTGTGTTTGGGGATAAATTTATTTATCGTAATATGTTATATATCATAATAATTATATATCTATCTATAAGATAGTGTATTTAAATTGACAAACAATATTGTTTGCGTAGTTCTATCCAAACTTAAATTTAAACCATTCGTGTCAAATTTCAGACATTCTTCTTTTACGTACAAATCACATTAGCCCAAGACGATGATGACGACGATGGGGGTGATGATAGAAACGCTCAATCATCAACCACGACCGATACGTCATCAACTTCGAATGATGTTGATGATATTCTGTCGAGTAATGAAACAGGAACATCTGAATCAGATGACGATGAAGGATCGACAGGTAAGCCGTGGATGAATTGATTTCCATTGGATTTAATATTTGTCTTAATTATAACGTTACACACCCCTTAAATTGGTCTCGTCCCTAAAACTTTGACCATGAAAACTGATAAAAAAACATAATAAAATATAATTTTCTATACCCCCCTTAAGCTTTAATTGAGAGGCGGTAATCATTTTACATCACGTGAACCGCCTACATCTGCGACTTCTTTCTGTAAATTTATATCTATAAAAGAGAATCTGTTACTTTAAACAGAAACCTTAAACTATTTTCCCTTGAACGTGATCCATTATTGTTAATTGGTTATTTCGCGTATCTTATTAATTTACGGTGGTAGGGACACGCAGCAGCCTCGGCTGTTGCACGAATGGGCAGGCCCGTCCGGGTAAGTTCCACAACTTTACAGAAGACCAGCGTAAAGTGGAAGTATGACAAATACTTTCGCGTTTCGTCTGGTGGGTGAGGTAGCCGGAGGCCAATTTTCAAAAGGTTGTCAACGCATCTGTAACCCTCGGGTGTGGCAGATGTCCATGGGCGGCGGTATTCACTTAACATCAGGTGAACCGTTCGCTCGTTTGACAACTTTTCGCATAAAAGAAAAAATTATATAATTGATAACTTTTATTTCCAGAAAGTGAAAGTATATTTGAAAAAGCAATTAGCCGTGGTGCTAATAAAATCGAAACTGCTATTAAAGACTTCCGAAAGATTAAAAAGGGAATACATGATTTTTTAAACGATGATTAAAGTTATATAACGATAAAATATGAATTATGCGCCACTTATGGACTGTGTACTTCTCCTTACACATTCATGTAACGTAGATAGCAAATAAATAGAATGCAGTTCAAATATTTTTTTATTACTGTCCAACACCAGCATAAACCCTATTTTTCCTAACACCAATTTTTGCAATCCAATTCTTTAAAAAAATACTATTACAACTCTAGATAACATTAAATAACACCTCTCCATTGCACATCTAACTATAATATAAGATTTTTCCAATATCCACGGTGTAAAACTTAATTTGGTTAATTACGAAATTAGTGGGTGATAAAAAAGGATGAGATGATGAATGAGGATTTTAATTTGGTAAATTGCTCCAACGGGACCCAGTATTTGTTCTAAATTCAATCGGCAAATACTTGATAGCTTGTCTAATCGATATATACAACAAAAGACCAGTTCATGCTTAGACAAGTCCGTATACCTATATAAATCACAGACATGATTTACGCAAAAGATTCACCAACTTTTGTTCACATATAACATTAAACATTATAAAGATAAAATTTAAATCATATATTGTGGTTAACATTTACAGGTGAATAATACAAATACTTAAAGCAAACATTTATAGCTTATTAATAAAATAAGCTTAAAATCAAAAAAAATATTTCGATAACTATCATAATAAATTTATATTAGAATAATGTGATCCGTAAATATTTATTTCAAGTTACTAGGACTTATTTCAAGTTACTAGGACTTATATACATCTAAATTAAAAAGTACACTATCATATTAAAAAAATCAAATTAAATTCACATTAATACAAAAATTAAATAACATTAATTTTCAAATACAAATACCATATAGTAAATGAGAATTGAAATAAATGACAATATATATACTGTTGCAGAGAAAACATGTGCACTATTTAGGCTAGCTCAACTAGGTATCCACGGCCGCACTTTCTGCGAGCAGAGAATAACAGTGATATTTTTATGACTCATGGAAATTTGCAATACCTCAGGCTTTGCAAATATCAAAATTTTGGCCCTTGCTATCTCATTCACCAGGCGAAGCGAGAAAGTCCAACTTTCCACCTTACGCTGGTCTTTTATGAAGCCATGGTAATTCCCTGGTTGAGGTCTTTTGTGAGGCCATGATTAATTCCATTTTCTGCCCACTCTAGCAACAGTAGAAGCTGCAGCTTGCATTGCCCTTTCACGGTAAACGTTTGCAACATTGGCGATGTAAGTGTCATTAGTTGGTTAACCTTACTTTCAATCAGCACGACTCTTTACAAAGTTGTCGTCTGTATAAAACAAAATACAAATTGTGGAACATTGAAATCATTGTAACTTTTGCACGTAAATACACAGTCTGTCGTGATCCAGTTAAATAAAACAGTTTGACGTGGAAATTTTACATTGCGATTATTATATTTATACGGGCAAAATGAGACTACTTTTAAAATAAGGTTATCAGTAGATGTATTAAGTTAGTAAATCTACCATAGTCAATAAATGCATTAGTTCGTTTACTACATTAGTTGCAATAAGTAGAGATATTTATTAAAATCTTCTTTTAAGTTTGAAGCTACGTAAAAGGTTCTACGAAAGGGCGAAATTTGAAAAGGATACTTTCCCAGTTTTATTAAAAACCGAGACTCCACCTTGAGAGTGTTGCCTAAAAGCGTGTCAGTCCGATACTATTTGTCATACGCTAAGTGATTTCCTACGTCGCATCGCAACATTATTCGTACTATCGAATCGTTACGCAGCTAAGGAGATACTCTTTATCCAAAACTGGTTGCTGTCCTCGTTAACAGAGATAAATAAAAATAATCCTGAATAAAGAAAAAATCTTACACAACAATCGTAATACGCAAATATATTAAATAAAATTTAACATAATTAATCGACTTTACATATCGACTTTAAGAAGCCAGAAGGCTACCTAATACATCTAGGAGTAAGTAGCCTTCGAGTAAAATTTTTGATAATCGCTTATTATGATCCTATTTATGCATTTCCTAAACCAATATAATAAAAAGAAACATATATACCGTGTGAATGAGAAGGTTTTTAACCAGGAGCGAGAGAAATAAAATACTAGCAGTACTTGTAAATATGCAAAGTTTATTACAGTACAGAATAAACACGTTGCAGAAACAGTAATGTGATACCCATACATGCTTTTAATACCTGATTTTTTACCTCATGATGATCGGGAAGTTTTTATTGGGTGCCGTTCTTGAAGCACGTTCTCGCAATTTCTCCCCATAAAAATAAATTCCTCTAGTAAGTTAAAGTGATCTCTAGGAGCTATGGTTATATCTTATTTTATGGCGAAAGTTTGCCGCTGCTATGGTCCAAATTACATGACCGAAGCGTTGAAAGAAGTTTATAAAGAATGAAAAAAACTGTAATTTTTCTATGCAAGTAAATGAATACAGTGCCTGTCTAACGATGTAAAGAGATGGGCGTAATATCGAACAATATTCTCACACACAACACCAGTAGCAAAAGCTTTAAGGAAAGTTTAGGGTTGTGTATCGGCATTATGTAATTCTGGAAATATGCGAGTTAATGAAAGGATTAAAAAGTTTACGGATTAATTTCGACCCGAGTCTAGCTTAATTTTATGAGCAAAGATAATCTTTTGGTTTAGTTTATTAAAATTTAAAAGAACCATTTTAAATTTTGGAACACAGCGAAAATCGCAGAAATTAGTCTTAGTGATAAATAATTTTAAAATATAATAAGCATTGAACACCGTTAGTAAGTCTAATATTTCTTCCGCGTTTAAGAATAAGTTTTTAATTTTCACAATACACCTTCGAACTCATTACTGACGTATATCTATAATGCAAATCGCCGAACCGAAAGTTCATAAATGACACCGTTGGGGCCACGCAGCACGGGTCAGCCGTCCGAGTCGATTTTTAGGATTCCGTAACCAAATAGTAAAATGAGGACCCCTAATCCGCGGTGGTTGTCCACCACGCAGTCCCACTGCGGATTAGGAGACTTCACATATCTTTGAAATATGTTTGTCATTGTTTCAAAAATACGCAGGTTTTTTTCACAATCATCGCTGCTTAAAATTAACAATTTCATTGGCGACGACGCTCGGAACTGACCTCGGGTTGCTCGGGTATATTGAATTAAAAGTGAGCGTCCGGTCACTGAGCTATCTTGGGCCTTAATATACGTTCCAAAGAAATATTTTGATAACAAAATGCAAGGAAATAAACCTTTATTAAAGTACTCTCATATAGAATAATGTTTCTAAATAAATGTTTCTTATTGCGTTGTTTTCCAGTCCAGTACAATATGAGATTTTTAGATGTGAAATGTACTTTTAGTTGACTCATCAAAACTGTCACTAGAGTTAATATCGGATTTTCAACCTTTTTTTTGAAACATTAAGTATTACATTAAATCTTACCATGTTCCTCGCGTTTTTCGAAATACACTGCTCACGCATACAAACGCACTTTCGTTTTACTTATGCATAATTATGAGACTATCAATAGTTCAAATAATCTTTCATTAATTCATCTCATCCATCGTTCGAAATGAAAACGATGCGTATTCTCATATTAAATTAAACTAGTTTACGGATTTTATCGCGTTTTTTATTTTGATTTGAACTGCCGACGTTTTGAACCCTTTCCAGCGTTCATCATCCTGTCCCGTGATCATGAACACTGGAAAGCTGGTATAATTTTCGCGTAAAATCAAGAAAACGATACGTATTCTCGGGAAAGTATCTGTTTCCTGGCATTTTAATTAAGGACCAGCTAACAAACAAATAAGCCGCATGGCCCATTCGTAAACTGAATAAGGAATTACATAAATAACGAACCCCAATTTGTTTTGTTAGTTTGTCCCCATTAGGGCTAACCGGAGTAAAGCCATCGCTTCCGAATTAACAAGCTAAATTTTCCATAAACACACTTTCATTTGGACCAGAGCGCAGAGTTTGGAATCGACTTTCTTTTGGGGAACTATTTAATTGCTACAGCCGATTGGCGTAGTGGGTGACCCTGCCTCTTGCGCCAGAGGGTGTAGGTTCTATCCCCACTACTGGTAAAATATTATGTGATGAAAATAGTGGTTTTCCTGTGTTTGAATGTTTATATAGTTATAACATGTATTTATTTACAAAATAAAAGTATAAGTATGTTTATCAATCATGTAGTACCCATTATACAAGCGTTGCTTAGTTTGGGACTAGAAAACGTTGTATAAAAATGTGTCGCCAAATATTTTTTATTTATTTATTTACAAGAGACGGGAAATATTCTAATTTGTTATGGATGGAACATTCTGAGCGATTGACACAGTGTGAAAATGTAACGATTTTTTTTAACCCTTTTCTTAACTCGATTGTATTACGCCTGACGCCCGGTTTCTGAAAGACTCATCAACACAATGATTGTGATCATTAAGAAGATCATTCTGATCGATTCAGAGAGTTAAATCATCTTTTTGGCAACTAAAATGACATTAGAAAAGCCATTTTACGGCTGATTGGTTAGTTTCTACGATGATCAGTGTTTCAGAAACCGGGCGTTAGTATTTTTTTCAAACGAGTAAAATTAAAGCACGGAACAAATGTTTGCTGCAACAGAGCTGATTCAATGTAGGGTCGTTAAATTAATAAAAGTAAAAAAGTAATATAAGAATGGAAAAACAGTAAAGTAGTGGAAATTCTAACCTGTATTATGTTACTAAATGAGTCTTAGCGACAAGGGAGACTTTAATGTGAATCCATGAGTTCGATACCAATAAAGTTCGTCGTACACTGGCTACCTCGGACGAGCCAATCAATATGAATCGTGATAATATATTTTTACTAATATTGTCATAAATCACAATCTTAAATGAATATTTCGCTTAACTGCTCTTGTTCCAAAATTATGAAAAGCAATAAACTACCTCGGCCAACCTATAAAGATATATATTTTTTTAATCTAGTGACTAAAATCGTCCGTTAAGTACTTT